GTAACAACAAAGAAGCACAGCATTCATCTACATTCAAGCAGAGCTCATCAGTGCTGTCTCCAACCCATAGCCTAATCTGAAACCTAACTGAAAGAAGGATCGAGCAGATGTGTCATTCCAGAAGACTCGAGGTTGCTCAGCCACCACTCTTTCAACTGTCTTGCCCAGAAAGGGTAGATTAGACGGTGGACTAGTGCTCTGTTTGTGCTTCTCCAGTCATCCCCACCCCACCCCCAGTAATGGACTAATTGTCCTAACATGCTGTTAAAGTACTGCCAAGTGCAAACAAAGCATTTTATGTTTCTGGGGACAAAGGTTTAGCTCTGAGCAGAAGTTATTGGAGATGCTTTCAGAAAAGGTACTTCTGGTCACTCTGCAACACAGAAATATTTTAATTAGATTCTGCCAGCCTATTTGAGGTTTGTTGTTCTGTAAGAAGGGTAAGGGCCTCCTTCTGATCTGTGCATTTTCCCTAGTACTTCTGAAGCCAGTTATTGGCATTTTTGTTTATGACATCCTTTTGTGTGTGGTATTTCATTATTGTTTATTTTAGACTTCATCTTTTTATGTTCATGTTTTGCTTATTTTGTATTTCTTTCAACTGAAAAACATAACAAGCAACTGATCTAAATAGGGAGCAATCCTGTTTCCTAACTTCTGTTTTCAGAAACCACACTTCAGAGCAGTTGCTCAGTAGATGAAAGGCTTCTGTGACCTTTTTCCTTCTTTAGAGTTTTACAAAGGTCAGGAGAAACTTGATAAAAATTTTATGTGGTTTAAAAAGCTTATCTTATTAAAGTTTCATGAGGAGGCAACAGCAACTACAGCACAGTCAGAAAAGCTTAGGTATTGTAAATCAGAAAACAGTGATAGCATAACTGCTCATTTGAACTGAGCTCCTAATTTCAAGCTATTGTGGAAGCAGACTTCCTCTTTATTTGAAAATACTGCATGACCTTGCATATATCCATCAAGCATTTCAGAAATCCTGTGGCTTCTAGAGTTCAAGGAGAGATGTGGTAATAAAGGGGAGTTTCTGTACTTGGCAACTGGTAGCACACCCAGTGGGCTCTGCATGCTTCCTAGTGTGATCGGTATTACTCAATTTGTTCAGCTGCATTTCATGAGGTTATCTTTGATGTTTTGTAGTGTCTTAGGGTAGGAAAAATGGGGGACATAATGGTAATTAGTAGTAGGCAACAGCCCTCTCCAAATCCACTTCTCTTAAAAATGCAATTGAGCCAGCCATTGTCTCATTATGAACCCATCTAGATTTTTTTTAATGTAAAGTTTATTTACTTAAAATTGTGGAAATTAGGCCTCTGGTGTTTATGCTGTTGGCATTGTTTTGGTGTTATAGCTTAAATGCATTTTAGCTGTTTTACCGCTTTTACTGTTCTACTTATTTTGGAAGCTGTCTTTAGTCTTCTGCTGTTCTTATAATATGGGGAGGGGAGAGTATTAGGGCCTACTTATTGTATCAACATGGCTCAAAGCACATACAGGGCTGGCTTATGTAGTTTTCTGGTGCTGAAATCCTAGAAATGGCTTCTCCGAATTGTGACATGTTGTAGGGTACACAGTATATGTTGCTCTAGAGCAAGGGCAGCACACTACAACCCATTTGACTTCCAGACCAGATTGCCTCCTTTCTTTCTCTTATGAACCATAACACGTTTGTTACCGTTGCTGAGCTGCTCATTATAGACAAGGAGATAAAAAGAAGCATAGTCATGTATTATAAATATGTTGTTGTTAACCATTCAGTCGTGTCCAAATCTTGGTGATTCTATGGGCCAACTCTCCACATTTTCTGATCTTCTACTGTTTTTGAGTCGTTCCACACTCAGGCTTGTGTCAGCTTTTATGGTGTCTAGCCCGTAACCCATCAAAGCATAATTGCTTTTTCTAGTGAGTTCTTCGCATGACATAGCCAAAATAAGTCAGTTGCAGTTTTATGATTTTTCCTTCCAGTGACATGTCTGATTTTATGTGCTCCAGTACTTGCTTGTTTGTCACCTTTGCTGTCCAAGGAATGCTCAGGAGCCTTCTTCATAAATATAGGAGAGAGAGAAAAAGAGAAAATATATAGGAGAGAGGCCGAAGTCATGTGGAAATTGGCCATAGTGTGGAAGCAAGGCCATGTCAGAGACTGTTGCTGTGTGAATGAGCCTGAAGAATCCTCAGACTCATGTTTCTCCATTTCTTCTCCTTGTACGTAGTTAGCTATTCGGAGATTTCTACTTTGGTTGTATACTAATATATATATATTCTAATCAGCAGCAATAGTTCATGCTTACCCTGTAATCAGGATTCCAAACAATGATTAAAAGAGAGCTGTACCATTAATCTGAACTGGGCCTTGGTGTAATAACAATACCTTCCTATCAGACAATTTGCTCCTGCTCTAATTTGTTACTCTATATTTACAGTTTAATACAAACTGTGGGATGGATGTTGGTTGGACCACTGACTCTTACTGGTTCTGTTAATTTATTACTCTGGAATTAGATTCTTTTGATCAGTATACAATACCTTTGAACTTCTGAGCTGTAATTTGTAGGAGCGTGTAAACTTGGTTCCTGGCTGCTGAATAGTACCTCTGCTGCTGTTGCTGTCATCATTATTCCTGCTCCTCTGTAAGAATGCTTGGATTTTATTCCACACAGCTGTCTACCATGCAGGTATACAGATTCAGGCTTCCTGCATGTCACGGGAAGGACTAGCCAAGGAGACAACATTTTGGAGTAATAGAATTAAGCTGTAGTTGCTGTAGCATCCTTAATAATAATATACTTTATTGTCATTGTATATAGTACAACGAAATTAAAGGTGCAATCATTTCAGTGATCTACAGCCATACTCATATACACTCACACAACCATTCACAACCATCCCATAACTCCCTTAAGGTTCACATTGCAAAGTTCACATTACTGAAAATTACCAAAGACACAGCAAAAAGATATTCTAAGGAGCCAAGCCTCAAATTCAAAAGTGCATGTGACTGAACAGAGTTGACTCAGGGTGGAGTCAGAGAGACTGTGTATGGACTAATGATCATGAGAGGATGCCAGTAGGGAGATGTAATAGTGATCTGTCCTTCAAGTACATCTACACTTCCATCTTGATGATATAGCAAACTGCATACTTACGAAGACTACCTGAGTCCAATATTGCTTAATTTTAGTAAGCAATCCTGAGTTAGCTGTATCAGTGGGTATTTCTCAGGGTAGAGAATCCATTTGCACACAGATTTTGTGGCAAAAATTATGCTGAGCTCTTTAAATGCAGACACCGCTTTCTTCTTGGTACTGTAGAACGCTACATAGAGGTGTAAAATTTCCAAGAATGTGTTGTATTCATTGGCATATTTATGGGATTCAAAAGTATAAATGCCTTCGTTTTCTACAACCAAAATTGCAAATAAAGTGTGTGCGTGTGTGTCTGAGAGAGGAGAGAGAGCGTTTCAGACTGCTGTACCCTATGCAATCTTAGCTCATTTTATTCATTCCAAAAGAGAGAAGCATATTTCATAGGAATTTTTTTAATGCTTCCCCAAATGTGTTGATTTTCTTTCTTTCTTTTTGTTGTACCCCCAGAGGGGGATATTTTTTATTGCATTTTCTAATAACTACATACTAAAAACTACATACAGAAAATCCAGGGAAGGGGAATTAACATCTATGGGAGAAAGTAAAGAAAACCCTCTAAAAACCCAAGAGATGGTGATCATACATACGTTTACAAATTTACCTTTAAACTTTTCCAGTGGAAAAATTGAAAAAGAAAAAGTCCTCAGGCTTTTCATGCTATACATTTTGAGTGAGTAAAACCTTGTCTTAAGCATTTCACTCACTTCAATAAAGTATTTTACAGGATGGACCACTGGATCCAGCCTTTTGTTTCTAGATCACTTACATTTGCAGTACATTTCATATGCATACTTATTGGAAGAATTCTATAAGACTGATCATTATTATTATGACTGTGTTATTCATATTTCATATATAGGGAATGAAGGCTGAATCCCTGACTGAAAGAAATGGGAATTTAAACCCCTTTTCATTTCAGAAGGTGATTTGCTATGGAATGCTAGCTAATAATTCTGTTTTTAATTTGCTACACAGTGTTGTGGATTTTTTATCATTATTTTATGATAGAGGAGTCAGAAAGTATCATTACCATTTTAAAGTTAAATTGTTTTGAAAACAAATTCATTGCTTTTATGGAATCCCACTGCTGGAATTTGAGAGGGATAATGTTTTTGGTGTGGTTTTATCTTAAGTGGATAAACTCTTGTTTAGAGTGCTAAATTGTTTGATATTCTGTCATCTTACAACAATGTATAAAGCACAAATATTTAGCATACATTAAAATAAACTTGAAATTAAATCTCTTCTTGCTTTAAAATTCAACAGAAATTTGGAAAAAGTAAATATAACTGTACACTTTCAAAAGGCTTCATCAGTATACAGGATAGCTACAACAATGAATAAGACTACTTCCTGGAAAACATATCTTTGAAAATAAACTTTTTATGTGTGTTTTAAGCTACTCAGGTACTTGCCTTGCTTTCTCTGTACCACATTAGCCTAATCTCCCACCCATGTGGGATTCCTGGTTACTGAAGCAAGGAAATGTAAGTTTGCTCAATTCAAAGTGACCTGTCAAATAAGTCTATTGAATCAGATGGCAGATGACAAGTCTCAATTGTCCTGGAAGACTAAGTTAGACTATGCACTTTAAGCACAGATAGTTCAACTTGTAACCAAAATGTATGTGAATAAAAATGAGCTTGATGTTTATGGCCAGACTTGAGTTTTAAAAGTTACCTCAGCTGCAATATTGTATTCATTATTCCTCTGGACTATTTGTGAGATATAATGGATAAGTAGAAATAAGGCACCATTTTGATTTAGTATATAGCCAAGGGAAGTTACTTAAGATGTAGAAGTTCTGTTTTCCAGTGCTTAACTATGCTTATTATTTTTATACAGCGTCGTCTTGGAGATGCTGCCAAGAAAGCTGTTGGCAAACTAACAACAAGGACTGTAAAGAAGGGTGATAAGGTATTCTCACTAAATGTTAACGATATATTTTACTTTATAAGTAATACTATTAATCTCTAGATAATTCTCTCGCTTTATGATTGATTCACCTTGCTGCAATTGTCATTTTTTGTTCAGTCTTTTAAATAATTATTCAGTGGGCTTTTGCCCAGACCCTCCCTTCTTGTTCTTTGTCATTACCTGTTTCAACTGCTAATTCAGCTGTCCATCTCAACTCTTTAAAAGTGGGGAAACTATTTGCAGCCTACAGAGTTCTATTTGTTTTTCATTCTTGGCGAAACAGCATTGTATTATCATGGACACATTGTTACTTACTTACTTACTTACTTATTTATATCCCGCCCATTCCGGCCTAGGCTGGCTCAGGGCGGCTTACAACAAAATTGAAATTTCATAATACATAAAACACAATTCATTACATTAAATAGTACAGTAATATAAAACAATTATTAAAATCAACCATTTTAAAGTGCTAGCTTTTCCAATGTTTACATTAGATTCTATTGGTCCGCTTCAGTTGGGGGGCGGCTGGGCCAGGCAGTAGTCACAGGGACCTGTGGCTCAGGGCTTCCACCATAGCAGTCAGTTGTTACTAATAGCACCACCGATAGTTACTTGGCCCTACCATCCTTTGCTACCATGCCTAAATTTATTTAAATCTTCCTTTATTTTATATAAGCCTAGCTATAATTTAGATTTTTATTTTGCATAAGAAATTGTTTTCTTTGGGTTACCAGTCAATAATCTAACACTGCCCCAATAGTTGTACACCATTCTAGGGAGAAGTATTGATACTTTGTTTCTTTAGTATTTTCCCCTTTCTGTTTGCCCCCAAACTCTTTTGATTTCTAGATATTTGGTTATGAGAGCCTGCAATAAATTCACCTATATGCATAGGAATAGTTGTTGCCTTCCCTACAACATATGCAGAATTTAACAAAATGGAGTCTGCATTGTGGACAGTAGGAAAATTGATCCTTCATTAGTGTAACCCATCAAGATTCTCTGCATGAAATATTGGCTGTCCATTTCCACCTGTGAAGTTGCTAATTCATTTCCATTTCCAACTGTGGAGAGCCAGTGTGATGTAGTGGCTAAGAGTGGTGGGCTGTAATCTGGAGAACCAAGTTTGATTCCCCACTCCTCCACATGCAGCCAACTGAGTGATCTTGGGCCAGTCACAGTTCTTTCAGAGCTCCCCAAGATACCCACCAAGTTTCAAGAACATTGGTGTAACTTTTTTCCCACCATAGAGAACAATGGAGGGGATGAGGGTAACCTGCTTGGGGCCTGGTCCAATGTTCTTGAAACGTGGTGGGTATCTTGTGGAGGGGCCCCAGCAGCTATGCTACCCTGCCTCTCCCTCAAACCCCCTCCCCTCCAGCCCCCAGAATATACCCGATGTTTTCGCATTGACTTCAGTGGCCCATAGGATATAATGGGGCCAAATTGCCACCGCAATTCAGCAGCAAGCTGATTCAGATCAGAGAATCTGAATCAGTCCGCAACAGCCAGAAAGGAGCCGGAATGGGCCATTTTTGGGGGTGCATTCGGTTCAGACGAACCGAATGCACATCCCTAAGCAGAACTCTCACAATTATCGTTCTCCCATCTGTCACTTGTAAAGTCTATTCTAATTGTCCTAGTTATCCCACAATAGAGAGCTTGGATTGTGACATCTGTTTGCTTTTGGGGTATTTGTTCAGTGCTAGTTATTACATGAATTTTCTGTGTGTCCATTTTAGGAAACAGACCCAGACTTTGATCATTGTGCTGTCTGCATTGAAAGTTACAAGCAGAATGATGTTGTCCGCATTCTGCCTTGCAAGTAAGCCCATAGTTTTTCTTCCTCTTTTTTGGAGAACGCTTTATGCTTAAGACTGTATGCACAGGGAGTTTTGCTTTCTCAGATTTACATTAATTTTCAATGCATTTGTTTAGATGCACACTTTGGGCTGTAACAATGCATATACTTTGCAAAACTGCTCTGTGCAGTTGGGGGGCGGGGTGCTAAGAAGGGTTAGATGATTTAAATGTTAGGTATACTATGACAAGTGGTTTGTGAATGAAAAGAATAGAGGGAAAAGTGGGACGAAAATTGTTAAATGCAGAGATGTGCGGTAGAAAATTTTTTCAGTGCTTTATTTTTCTGTGGTGAATATTCAATTTTGAAAAATCAGTTGATCTATATAGAATTAATGATGATGGATGGTTGCAATTGCCAATACAATATTAGGCACACTTGGCAGTTTCAAAGTTGTAATTAAGGTTTTTCAGGTCTCTAGGAATTGTGTTACTGATTTTGTAAACCACAAGTATTTACAGTAATCTAAGTTAAAAAATCAAGTTGAATTCACCTGATTGGCTGTGCAGGCCAAATGAAAGTCAGTGCTGAGATCGTTATTCATATGACTCCTCTCACTTGCTAGAAGAAATTTTGTGGTCATCAGTCTGATGTGGAACTAGCAAGTAATACAATTGATGAAGTGCCCTAGTGACCTCTGTGGACAAAATATTCTTTTGAAATACATAAATGTACAGCTAGGTACATTGCACATCATAGATTGGATCCCATGTAGATTTCCATAGGCACGTAGGGAAGATTTTTGCTGATTGCTCCCTTATACAGCAGCCCAAAATTTCACTTGAAATGCTGTTTCTGGAGAACAGGGGATCCTCTGGAATAGCTTAGGAAGGCAATCAAAGGTCTCCTGGGGGGCAGGGTGAAAATCATCTCTCCCCATGCCAATCTAGGTAGTATCCAAGCCAAAGCACAGTTATTTGTTTGTGTAAAAGGTTTTCAGTGGCTTTAATTCCCCCCTCAACTTTAAACAATATAAGGGACATATATGCTGTGTTGTTTTTAAATTTCACGAGTATTATTCCAAGAGAAATACCCGCATAAAGGTGTGAATTTACTTGAGCATTACATTTAAACAGCACTTGATTTGGGTTTCAAGTGTTTTTTGCTATTGGGAAATAAAGTAAACATGGGGTACTTCTTAAATTTGCTTATTAACTATGTCAAAAAAAAGCATGCCAAGTCATATCATTCTCCATTTAGGACATTGGACAGTTTTTGAAAAGTTTTCAGATTCCAGTTTTTCTGGAACTGCCACATTATTGGTGATATGTAAGTTTCGTCATTCCTGTTGGTTATTTCTTGGAATACAGGGGATATATACAAAATTCCACTCAGTAGATGCTACTGGGCAGTATTAATAACTCCCACTTGCTCTGGTGTTCCTGAATTAGCAAAATCTCTTTCCGTCTTCCCCTCCCCTTGTTTTTTGCTACCAGAAGTTTAGGCTGTTCTTTCTTAAATTTCTAAACCTGCCTAAAGTTCTGTAATTGATAGCTTTCTGAGAAATGGAGTTACCACCTGTTCTGTAAAGGCATGGCAAGTGCCAATACCATACCCGTATCCCATAAACTCCCTGCTCAGACTAAGGATATATATTCAACTCTACTGTAATATGGAATTGTTTCTCTTTATATGTCAACCACTCTGTTGTTACTGCATTTAGACTTGTTATTCTGTTTCTCTCCCCCACAAATACACCTTTGAGTGGAACAGAGTATAATGGGGTTTAACTCCACATAGGAATTATGAATATAGAACCGGGGTGATAGTTATGTTAGCTTTGACTTTGAGTTAAAGGTTTTTACCTTTAGGAAAAATAGTTTGGTAGGTTATTCTCAAATCTTTTTTAAAAGTTTATCTTTTTTTTCTTTTTCCCATTTGACCGGGAAATTTTATTATTTTCAGAAAGAAAGAAAAGAAAAACTACAAGAAACATAAAACAACAACACAATAACAACACATAGCAACAAATCAAACATAGCTACGATAGTGGAGCTCATACTTAGTTTCAAATTAACAGTTCAAGTATAGTTGAAAACATGTTTTACACACCTATACTGGTTTTACCATCAATAACTTTCATATTCAAATCATTTTCAGAATCTATACATTTCATCCAATCCATTTGTAAAATCTCGGCGATGGAGATCTGTCATGGAAAGAAGGAATTAGGTATTCCTCCCATCTATTAGCAAAATCTGCCATGAAATCCAGCCAATTGATGACCAATTGGTTAGCCTTTCCCACTAGACCCACACATTAGGGTTACCAAATGTGCCCGGGGGGCGGGTAATCCCCCGCTTCGGAGCCCCCGATCCCGGCCTGGCGAGATCGGGGTCCGGGGGGAATCCCGCCCCCGAAGCTGCGTCACCAGAGGTGACGTAGCCCCGTTGCCGACGTTGGGGGTGTGGCTGAGCTCGTCGGGGGGGGAAACCATATGTTTCCCCCCCGACGAGCTCGGCCACGCCCCCAAAGTCGGCAGCGTCTGACGTCACTTCCCGTGACGTCGCGGCGGCGCACGCACACGGACTGCTCCCGGACGGGACGGAGCCTCCCCCGCCGGTGAGTGAAAACTATTTGGCAACCCTAGTTACCTTACATGACCACCACATATGAAAGTAAGAACCAATATTATTTTTACATTTCCAGCATAAATTTGACATTTAAAGTGTATCTTTATTCCACAAATTTAGATGTGTGTGTTGTTGGGGAAATGAGGGGTGCAGGAACCTATTCATGCACCCTCATTCCCACTGTGTTCAATTTTGGGGAAGGAGAGAAGCTGGCTTCCCAATTTCATCAAAAGAGAGACAATTGTTTTAAATCAAGAAACAATTTATTCCATTACACACTCTTAAATCAGAAAACATTTTTGTAGCATTTCAGTATTCAACATAGAATATTTCAACACCTCCCCAATACATAAATAGTGCACTTGTAATTTTATAAATCCTGCCAACCTAGCAGTTCAAAAGCAAGAAATTGCAAGTAGATAAATAGGGACCACTTCAGTGGGAAGGTAACAGTGTTCCATGCGCCTCGGTGTTTAGTCATGCCGGCCCCATGACCTCGGAAATGTCCTTAGACAGCGCAGGCTCTTTGGCTTGGAAATGGAGATGAGCACCACCCCCTAGAATTGGATTTGACTGGCTTTCAAGCAAGGGAAACCTTTACCTTAATTCTATAAAGGATATCTTGGTTGTTCTACCAAGACCCATGGCAGGGTAGTTGATCAGAATAACCAAGAACAGGACTAAAATCAGACATTAAGTACCCTCTTTCACCCATTGAAGCTAATCTAACTGTCAATCAAGTCTGTGATGAGCATTTGACATACATCTGACATATACAACAAAGTCAGCCCCTTTCTTTCTATCTCTGGGGTCGGGAAAGTCAAGGAAAGCTAGATTAATCCAGGGTGACTCACAGAATCAAGGAAGCTAGTTTTTGACACTCTTATCTATTTAGGATTTGATAGTGACTTCTGACTGATGTAAAGTATAAACATTCCCAGTAGGCAAAAGTCATGTGAGGCAAAGTCATGTCCAGTGAAGACCACAGCACTCAGCAGAGTTCTGAAGCTGCCTGGGAGCAGAACCGAACCAAAGTTTCAACTACATAGGCTAATTACTATAGATATTAAAGTATTATAGGTGTACCAGAGGTTTTGCAGAGTTTTAGCAGAGGACTGAGACTCAATCCAGCCTTAATTCCACAACATTTCCCCATGTATTTTCCTCTGAATATAGTGAGAGCTTATTAATAATTTCTGAATGGTACTGCTGAAGGACTATATCCCTTTGATTCTCAAACAGATTTTTCTTCATTCTTCATAAATCATTAGAGGGAAGATACAAATTATTACATTAGACACATAATCAAGATCCAGCAGCTTGATCCATGTTGGTTATTAACTATGTCCAAATAAGCATGCCAAGTCATAAAAACTTACCCAGTCAGTTGGTGTTTAGCTGTGTATATATTACAGAATGAGAACATTTCTTTGCTCTTGCACAACATGATACAATCATTATCAGGTTTGATACATGATACAATCATTTGATACATGATACAATCATTATCAGGTTTGACGTCTTTCTGCATGCTATTACTGAAATTTTCTTCTTTCAGTCTTTAAAAAAAAGATTGGTCATTGCAAATCATACATTATTTTTATAGCTTTCTCTTAAAGTTTAAATTCAGAAGACAAATCATGCATCATTTTAGCCAAGTTCTGCTTCTTCAAAATCTGTTTTTCTCTTCTTATGCAAAATTTGTTTGTAACATCCACACAAAGGTTATCCAGTACAGCTACCAAGTTGATCAACGTTTCAAAGAATCTATACTTTCTCTTTCGCTTCCCTTTGATTTCAAGAGCAGTTTAAGTCAAGGGAGGGGGAGGAGAAGATTTTAAAGACTTAAATGTTTGTTCCTTAGTAGCTTCTCTGAGATGTATGGGGAACCTTTTAGACCTAGTAGATTGCCATTGTTTGTGAATGAAGTAGGTTGTCATTGGATGTGAATGAAGATCGTGTAATCATCCCCTAGTGGTCTGTTTTAGAAGAATATTTATCTGTAATCCCTAGGAAGCTGTAGGAGAAATAAATAATTGAAATCACATTCTCTCCTCCTTGTGGCAGAGGGAAATTTTACCACTGAGTATTTTGTTGCCCACTAGTGTTATGATGGTATTTCAGAATACTGAAGCCCTGGCATTTGAAAAACTAGGATGGAATGGAAATAGGCTTTGTTCACTGGAAAGGCCAGTGGTGTTAGAGCTCTCTGAGAATAGACTGAGTCACAGCTAAGTCCAAAACAGTACTGTAGAAACTTATTCAAGTCAGAAACATTGTGCAGGGGGGGAGGGAGAATGCATTACATATTTTAATGTGATAAAGTATGAAAGATTTCTGACTTGTCAGCTTCACTTGATGAATATTTCTTTTAAATGTGCTTCTGTGTGT